GGCGTCTTGTAGCGATCATTCGGCGACTTTGTGAACTCTTGGACCGTTTTGGGGGCGTCTGGAGAGGCTCCACGCCGAGCCTGGGGAGTTCAAACCGAGCCGGATGAGTTCAGCGGAGGGTCGTGCGCGGCCGGGGGGGGGGGTTCAAATTGCCGGTGTTGGGTCCCGGGGGGGGGGGCTTATGGGGGGGAACAATCTCACGCGCCTAGAGACCCACAAGGGGTCGGCGGATATGTTTGGCCAGTAACTAGATAATGTCACAGTGAGACGGTTTTCATGCTGATTGGTTCGTGCCCGACGCCAAGGTGAGGCGAACGCGCTTATAGCTGAAAAGAGAGGGATCGACAGAGAGAGAGAGAGAGAGAGAAAGAGACAGAGAGAGAGCGAGAGGACAAACCAAGCATATGCATCGTGAAACAGTGATGCATACATGCGCTCGCACACCATCACCACGCACGCTCAAACAAGCGAGCCTCTGCTATGTACCTAACCCCCTAGCCCCTATGCGTGCGCATGCCGACTTCGACGCTGTTGTAAACCCTACTCCGTCGTCAACTCCGCTCCTCATCCTTATCGTCCTTTCGTTCATCATCAGCCGTCCTCTTCACTTTCCCCCTTCTCCCCATCCTTCTCCGCCCTCCCGCGCTCCCCCCCTTGTATAATTTACCGGTGGGGGATCAACAGTAATGAGTTTCCAGAAGTGAGAGTTCAACAACAACAACAACAACAACACCAACAAGAACAATCATTTCAAGACTGTTCGCTCTTATCTGCTCGCGTGTCATTGCATATGCATATCCCAAACCCTGGATACCCGCCCTCTTCGTCTTCGATCGTACCCCCTCTTCGGGGGTATACTCATTCCCTGCCACGTGTGATTGGTGAAGCCCTTGAAAACGAAGGGTAACAGATAACGGGGGAGAATGAGGACGAAGTGATCGGAGGAAGGGAAGGGAGGGGCAAAAAGGAGGGAGGACGATGCTTTGCGCTGTGAATGGCGATTCAGCTTGCGCCATGGCTTGCGCCAGCCACTCCAACACAGGTTAAGAATAAGTTTCGCCATGGGTCGCGCCATAAACAGCGCCGCGTACCACCCCCTTGAAAGAACATATTCTGGATACCCCCACAGGGGGGACGTACAGCTACGAACTGGTGTCAGAAACAAATTTCGTGGAACTCTGAAATGAAGCGGGGTGTTGGGAGAGTGGGGCGGAAGGATAGTGAGAACGGCAACCGTGTCGAGAGGAGCGCGGGGATGTGGAGCGGATTGGGATGGAGTGGACAAGAGTAGGGTCTCAGGAGGAGGAGTGGCAAGCAGTGGAGAAGAGGAGCCGGGAGGAGTGCGGAGGAGCGGGGGGCGCACGGAGAAATCTGGAGGAGGGACTGGGCACAATTTGGGAGACGTGCGGAATGCGAGCGGGAGGGGGTGGAGATTGTTGGGGCGGGATGGGGTGGCTTTGGGAAGAGTGGGCGGAATGCGACGAACTGAGGAATAGCAGCATTGAGTACGAACGAAATGAAAATGAAGGTAAAAGGAAAGAGCCGAGAAGACTGGGAAAGAACGTTGAAAAGTGGGGGCAAGTGGATACAAGCGGAGACAGGTGCGGAAATAGGGCGCGGGGGGGTTGGAAGGCACCCGAAAGCCTCCTATGACTTCTGGGGGGCCTCGCAATGGCCCCGATGACCGCCGAGGTGGTCCAGATGCGCCGGAAACCTGCGGGAACGCCCCGGGGGCCTCGTCGAGGGAGGCCCTCATTCGAAGCTTGCAGAAGAACCTGGGCCAGCGGAACACGCGCGTCTCAAAGGCTGGCAAACTGGGCCCCGGCAAGCGGCGGACCGTCGGCCTGGCCAGTGGCAACGCTGGCGATGCACACGCCGACCCGCGGCAACCCGACCCCAAGATGGACAGACAGCGGGCTCGCCGCGACGACGACGACCACGAGAGCGCGCTTCTTCAATACCTTTTCAGGAAGTATGACGCGGGAGCCGTTGTTGGCGCGGGCCACGACGGGCGCGAACGAGCGGGGGCCCCGAAGGGCATGCGTATAGCGGGCCGCAGAGGGAGGGCAGAAACGGGGCCACGAAGGGCAGAGAGGGGGCCACGAAGAGCGACAGCGGGGCCACGATAGGCATGCATATGGGGCCACGACGGGCGCGAACGAGCGGGGGCCACAAAGGGCATGCGTATATGGGGCCAAAAAGCGACAGCGGGGCCACTGAGCGCAGAAAGTGGGCCACGAAGGGCAGCGAGGGGGCCGCGAATGGCGACAGCGGGGCGAAGAAACGCATGCGTATGGGACCACGAGGGGCGCGAGCGAGCGGGGGCCACGAAGGGCAATTAATCCGGGGCCACGGAGGGCAGCGACGGGGCCGCTGAGGGCAGAAACAGGGCCACGAAGGGCAGGGAGAGGGCCGCGAAGAGCGACAGCGGGGCCACGAAAGGCATGCATATGGGGCCACGACGGGCGCGAACGAGCGGGAACCACGAAGGGCATTCGTATATGGGGCCACGAAGGGCGACAGCGGGGCCACTGAGGGCAGCAAAGGGGCCACGAAGGGCAGCGAGGGGGCCACGAAGGGCGACAGCGGGGCTACAAAGGGCATGCTTCTTCCACGACGGGCGATTGCGAGCGGCGGCCACGAAGGGCATGGAATGCGGGGCCACAATGGGCAGCGACGGGGCCACTGAGGGCAGCACCAGGGCCACGAAGGGCAGCGAGCGAAGGCGACCGCGGAACCACTTCGGGCAGCGAGGGGCATCGAAGGCGGGCGAAGGGCAGCGAGCGGCGACTGCAGTCCCTGACGGGCTGGTCGGGCGGGCAGGCCCAGACGGGCGGGTCGAGAGGGCGGGTCGTTGAAGCGTAAATTCTGCCTGAACCGCCGGGCAATATGTAGCAGGACGCGATTCCTGAGTGTCGTGGAGCGGCGTCTGAATAAATTGTGAGGAAGTATCAGACGGGAGCCGCGATTCGGCGGTAAGTTGTGAGGAAGTCCCAAGCGAGAGCGCGATTCTTCAATACGTTGTGAGGAAGTGTCAAGCGGAAGCCGCGATCCGGTGGTAATTTGTCAGGAAGTCAAAGCGAGAGCGCGGTTCTTCAAGAAATTGTGAGGAAGTATCAGGCGGGAGCCGTTGTTGTTGTTGTTGTTGTTGTTGTTGTTGTTGTTGTTGTAAACCGGGGGCCAACGACACGGTTTGACCTTCAAGATTTTCCCGGTTAAAAAAAACAGGGTGCGAGCCCCGGGAAGGACACTTCGATCGAGCAAAAACAATGTGCACCGGACGGGGTGGATCAACAATAACTGTTCTTCAGACATGAGGGTTCAATAACAATAACAAGAACAATTGCAGCAACAACAACAATTATTTTAAGCCTGTTCGCTTTTACTGGCACGCGTGTCTTGCATTCTGTATACCCCGCCCTTCGATACCCGTCCGCTTCGTCTGCGATCGCGCCCCCTTTCGGGGGAAATCTTTCCTTTTCGGCCACTGACTGAACTGCGAGGAACTCTCGAGCGAGAGCGCCTCTCCTGAGTTCGGGGGGCCTCTTTGGCCAGGGTCTCCCCGAGCACATATAGACAAATATCGGAACGTAACCCGTGCTGCTGTGTCTGAGCCTTCACCAATTTGCTTGGAATGCGGGAGAGTTTCGAGCGAGAGCGGTCTCCACCAATTTGACTGAATCACGGGAAAGTGTCGAGCGAGAGCACCGTTCCTGAGTTCGGGGGCTTTCCTGGCCAGGAGATCTCGGAGTAAATCGTGAGGAAGTATCGGCAGGAGCCCTTGTCGTCGTGGCTGGGCTTCCGCCAACTTGATTGACTTGCGAGGAAGTCTCGAGCGAGAGCGCCGTTCCCGAGTTCGGGGGCCTCTCTGGCCAGGGTGTCTCGGGGTAAATATTGTGGAAGTATCGAGCGGGAGCCGTTGTCGTCGTAGCCGGACAACGAGCCAAGCCAACGCTCGCACCAGAGCCTCGTTTTCACAGAAAATGTAGCCGTCGTCGAGGCGAGAGCGCGGGAAACCGCTTCCGGAGATCAGCAACAATTGTTTTCTAAAGGAGAGTATTCAACAACAGCCACCTCCACAACAACAGTAACAACCACCACCACAACAACACCAACAACACCATCAGCAATATCAATGCACCAATACGACTAACAACAACCACACCACCACCCTCAACAGCTACACCAACAGCAACAACAACCACACGAGCACAACAACACCACCAACAACAACAGCTTCAACAACCACAGCAGCAGCAACAACAACAACATCAGCAGCAGCAACACTAACAACAATAGCAGCCGCAATACCAACCACAGCACACCACACCACAACAACAGCAACATCAACAGCCGCAACATCAAGACCAGCAACATATCCAACCACGTCAGCATCACCAGCAACACCAACCGCAACAACAACAACGACAGCAGCAACAACGACGATAACAACACCAGCAACAGCTGCATCAACAGCATCATCATCAGCACCAGCACCAGCAACAACTACAACGCCATGTCAAGGGCGAGGCCGGCAGGGAGCTTCAGAGGCGAATTCTCGTGACTGGGTAAGGAGCCCTCATGCTAATGCTAAAGCGTATTTGGGGGACATGGGAGAGTCCCGCTCCAGGAGCGGCACGCGGCAGTGGGGCTCCCGTTCGGGCCCCAGCCGGCCGCACGCGCCCGCCGCCGCCACAGACAGCCCCCCCCCCTCCCTCCCAGGCCTCCGGGTACCTCTGCGGTTTCTTACGTCTTCCACGTCGTTCCGTCTTCCTTCCTGTCTCTTCACCTTTTCGTTGCTGTTGACCCCCCCCCGCCTGCGCTTCAGTGGGGGGATTCGAGGGCCGCAGGTTCAGGGGAACAAGGGTCCTCAGATCGGAGGTTCGAAGGATGAAGGAGAAGAGGAGGAGGAGGAGGAGGAGGAGGAGGAGCAGGAGGAGGAGGAGGCGGAGGAGGCGGAGGAAGAGGAGGAGGAGTTGGAGGAGGAGGAGGATCGCCAGGCGGGACCCGGCATGTTCTCGATGCTCATGCAGGGTGTGACGTACACCGCGAAGGATGGCGCGTCCGCTGATTTTCGGTTGGAAGAGCCTGCTGAACCCTTCAAATTCGCTCGGCGGGGCGGGGCGAGGAGGAGCGGAATGGGGCTTGGTTGGAAAAGGAGGAGGAGGAGAGGAGGAGGGCAAGAATATGATTGGCACAGAGAGCACTGTGAGGACCCGAATCGCGCTCCAAGAGGGCCTTAAGACAGTTCGAAATCGCGAGAAGGCCGCCATGACCAATGCACGTGACGGCACGCTGGTCGCAATACGGCCCGAGGAGGGTTCCCCATCTGGCCCAGCAGAGCCCAAAGAGATCTCTAAAAGAACCCCGGCAGAGACCAAGCAGGGCCCCAACAGCACCCCAAAAGAGATCCTTGATACGAGTCCCGGTGGGTCTCGGGCGGGGCTACGACGAGGGCAAATCTGTTGAGGAACGCTGTGGGAAGGCCGCGGCGCCCGAGGTATCCTCAAGAGCCGCCAGCTCTCTCTCTCTCTCTCTCTCTTGTTTCTTTCTCTCTCTCTTTTTGTTTCTCTCTCTCTCTTTTTTTTTTTGTTTTTTTTTTTTTCTCTCTCTCTCTCTCTCTCTCTCTCTCTCTCTCAGAGAGAGATCATCAATTTATCCTCACCCGACTTTATCCTCGCCCTGGCTTCGTCTGAAGGCCCTCCCCGACCGTCGAGCCCGAGGCTCCTTCCTCAGGACTCCTCACACGTGTGCCTCCGCCCCTCTTGCTGCGAGTGGCCATAGGGACGGCCACGGCCGCGGCCGCCAGCTCCGGGCCACGGAGGAATCGCTGCGGCGCGGGGGACAGCCAACCCGCATAGTAATCGGGAGGGAAAAAAAACACACAGACACAATTCATCGGCGATTTCCCAGGAAATATGGGAAAATATGCGAATTGGGGGGGAAGACAAAACCCAAGAAAATATGGGAAAATATGGGGAATCTTTTTATTTGTGTGTATTTATTTGTGTGTCCCAGGGCCCCTTCAAGTAAGGATGGCCAGCCTTCCCAAGGGGCACCCTTGCATCCCGTACCTCCTCGGCGCATCCTTGGCCACTTCCGTCGGCCGCGCCCCGCTCGAAGAGTTTCGACGTGGCCTTCCAGGGCCCTTGCATCCTCGTCGCGCATCCTTGCTGTACGGGTTGACTGTATGGGCAGAGGCAGAAGCCCGTGCGCGCTGGCCTGAGCTCGGCGCTGCCGCCCACACACCCTCCGCGCAGGACCGCCGGCCCACGGGCAGCGCGCCCTGGCCGCCGCGTCAGCGGGGGGGGGGCGGAGGGGCCCAGGGAAGCGGGGAGAAGCGCCCGGGCGGGGGGGCAGCTGCGGACGCACCAGGGAGGCGCTCGGGAGAGCTTGAAGCTGCGGGCGCCCCAGGGAGGCGCTCCGAAGGCAGCTCCGGGCGCCCCGGAGAGCGCTCGGGAGGTGGCCCGCGGGTCAGGCGGGCGCCTGGGCCGAGGGCCAGGCGGGCCGAGGGCCAGGCGGCGGCGGCGGGGGGTAGCCCTTTTCCTCCCCCCCCCTTTCTTCTCCTATGTGCGCATGCTTTGTGGGATTTACGGCTGGACTGCGCGAAGGAAGGGGTTGTAACGACTACAGGTTCAAACCACCTGCGCCCAGAAGGCTCGTGGACATCCAGTCGGCGCACGGTCGGGTCAAGGAAGCCCAAAGAAAACTTTGTGTGGTATTTGGCTGGTTCTGCTCGACGCGAAGCGTTGCAGTTATAGCTAGCCCGCGTGCCCAAATAATGTGCGCATCAGCGAAACGTTTGATTCAGTGTCGCCCTTTTCATTGCGCAGGGCTCACCCAAGGCACCGCCCTAGTGCACCGCGCAGGGCCAGCTAAGGGCAAGATGAGGTGCCTGCGCGTTGTCTCAGCATGAAGCATGCTGTTTTGGCCCTGGACCGTTCAAGTTGTCGCCTCGTGCCGAATCGTATACATATTTCTGCCAATCAGTTGACAAACGGGCGTGAGCTTATCAAGCCCAGGATCGTCCCCATCTCTGGTCTTTCGTTGCTTGATCCCTCGCGTGGACCTTCAGGAACGGACAAGTAGCCCTTGACCATGCAGGCCCTCGCACTACCTGTAATATCTTTCTCGAAGTTCATTTTTACGATGGCCATAGGCGTAGGAGGTCAGACGGGGGTCTCTGCTCGAATCAGGGCCTTCCCGTGCTGCAGTAGCTAAACTTCGAACCCTGCAGCGCGCCCTCAAATCGCGAGGCGCGAGCCCAACCCGCTATAGGTTCAAGCGTTAGCTGCTCCCTCACAGAATTTTGCATGTCGTCGCCCCTTCTATTGAAGTTCCACTTGCGCCAGCACCACCCCGACCCATCCAAGGGTGCGCATTCCGTACTCACGCCCAGCCGCAACAGCCGCGGCACGCGGACAACGGAGCCCAGTGGCACCCTAAACTTGCGACAGCGCACATGTTAGTTTCGCGCCTACGCTTCGGTGCATGCACTGACGCACCGTCTGCAGGAACGTTTTATCCCCCGCATGTAGGTTTCGTGTGTTAGCGCTTTTTCGTATATCTATATGTGTGTGAGGAAATCTATGGATAAATATAGAGCGGATGCGTCCATATGGCGAACAGTTAGGTGCATTACGCCGCTCGTGAGGGATGATGCACGACGCGTATACGCTTGTTGGCCAAACGCCCACACACACACACCCCATCAAAACAAACCCATTGCCATTCCACCCAAGCTGGGGATAGTCTAGCTGCCTTCGGCCCATCCCGCCACCTTGCCTGGGATGTAGAACAGCGGCTGTATGGATGCGTGTCGTAGTGGTGTCTGTTGGGATGTTTCTCGGGGGCTTCATGGAGGCAGGTTTGGGGCCCCTGGGGGTCATCTAGTGGGCTGGTCGGGAGCCTCTGTTTTGGTTTTCTGGAAGCTTCGTCAGAGAAGCGAGGGCGCTGGTTGACAGTCTCAGGGGTCCTCTTGGTGCGGAGGGCTCTATTCTCAAGACTGCACGAGCTTCGGGGAACTCTACTTCGCGCCAAGGCACCAGGCGGCAGAAACTGGGAGCACACGCGCATACGGAATAAGGAGCGCTGCGCCAAGATCGGGGACGGAGTTCACAGACAAAAAGTGAGCGGTGCTTTGGCGACAACCACGTTTCGCTGTGCCGCGCGCGACGTGCGACTCGCCCCATTCCTGCCACGCATCGCGTGTGGCTCCGTGGACTTCAAGATCGCCGATGCCGATTTGGAAGGGAGCCATGCTCATTTCGCCTTTTTCTTTTGTTCGGGGAAAGCAGGGTGGAACGTCCCAGAAGTAGCCGCGTTTCTCCGTTTCTTTGTGTGCCTGTTGTGTCTGGGACACCACAGCGCGGCAATGGGGGGACATTTTGTCCCCCCTTGGTTCGTCTTGTCGTTGTCTCCTTTTGCTTTGTCTGCGTTGCCCTCTCTCTCTCTCACTCTTTGTTTTCCCGGCGCTTGTCTCGCCCCCCAGTCCTCTCACGAGGATTCGGCTCTGTTGACGGTTCTACAGCAGCGCGCGCGGGCGTCTCAAACACACAGGAGGCCCTGCGTTGTTGTCGGTGTTGCTTTTCTTCGCTCCCTTTTTTGCTGGTCCCCTTCGCTTCGTCTACGCCATCTGGACCTCTCTGCTCGTCGGTGCCCGCTGCTGCCTCCTTGGTGTTTTTTCCGGGGGGGGGCAGCCCTGGGGACTGTTGTGCGACAGCGCGCGCGGCCCTCTTGAAAAGCCGGGCGCTCTGTCACTTTCGCGTTTTGCTGCGCCTCTTCCCCCCCTTCTATGTTCTCCCCTTCTCTTCGGCCTGCGCTGCCGTGTCCCCTCCCGTCTGGGTCGACTGTCTGTCGTCATCCCGTGTCCCGCCAGCAGTCGGGTCCTCCTGGCGCACCGGCAGCAGCGCAGCGCGCATGGTCTTTGCAAGGGCAGAGAATTCACGTAATTACCCGTGCCGCTGCCATTCCCTCGCCCTCGCCTCGTTTGGGCCTCCTGGAGCGCCCTCGTCGCTGTGGTTGCATTCACCACGCAGTACTGGCCGGAGCAAGCCCCGGGAGTGTGGGTCCAGGGGGTGTTCTTCGAAGCCTCCTGCCCCACCCGGGGCGCTCCCAGGAGATCCCAGGAGCTACCAGGGGCGGCTGGAAAACCGGGGGCGCGGGTTGCTGAGAAGCTGACAGCCGCACAATCCGAGGTTGTGGGTCAGAGGCCTCTTGGGTGCTTGTTGGAGTCTCTGAGGAAGCCTCTGGGAAGCCTCTTGGAGGCAATTTTCAAGCCTCTTGGGGCATCATTGGGCGATTTGGGGGCCTCTTAAGGCTTCCTCTGGGCCTCTTGCTGCCTCTTTGGGGCTATATTGGGGACTGCTTGCGATCTCGGGAGCACCCTGGGAGCGGAGGACTCGAAATTGCCGCTCGAGCTCCCCATCTTGGGGCTCTCTTCGGGCCCTTTTGGGCCATCTTGAGCGCCCCTTGGGCTGTCTTGTGGCTCTCTGGAGCCGTTTCGGGACTCCCTTAGAGGCTTCTTGGGCTGTCGTATTGGACGCTGTGGAAGCCCCAGGAAGCGAATCTGCTGATCATGTATGTTCTCTTATGGAGTACAATGGCGATGTGCTTCTTTCGACCCTCTTGTGGGTGCTCTTGGGGCTCTCTTGGGGTATCTTGTGGGCCCCTTTGGGGTAGTCTTGGGGCTGCACTGGACCGTCTTGAAGCTGTCTTGAGCCACTCCAGGGCATTATTTGGCCATTTCAGGCGGTCAGTGCGACATTCTCGGAGGTGTCCCGAAGCTACCAAGAGATCCCATGAGCTCTCAGGAGCGACTGGAAAACCAAGATCCGGGCTCTCCTCTGGGTTGCGTGAGCCTTGAGAGACTCCACTACGTGCCATGCTGAAGGCTAGGCGGCAGACATTCACAATCATTCCGATCAAATCAATTTCAAGCTCAACCACCAGCCAGCGCACCATCGCCGTCGAATCACTGAACGAGATTCTGCTGTGGCCACATCGAGCTGGTGCAGGAATCTGAGCCTGGAGAGCTCTCCCGCACGGCGTGGCCCTCGTACAACACAGTGGGTTCAGCCTTTTGGGCCGCTCGTGAGCACATCGTTGGATTGTTGTGCAGATACCACGACACGTACGTTTGGAGCCGTTCTCAAGTAGGACCCCAAAAGTGCTCCCTCCGCCCTCATTCATCAGAGGAGGAGCAGGTACCCGTACCGTTACCCACTCGCCCGTTCTCCCTTTTCCCGGCCTCCTGGGATGCCCTCGTCGCCACCGCTGGATTCGCCTCGAAGTTCTGCTCAGATTGCACCCCAAGAGAGGTCCAGGGGGCACAGTCGGCATGGATTAGTAGGTCGACCCTACCAAATCAAGGGTACCTTTATGTCCTGTACCTCGCGACCCATGCCTCTTACATTCCATTCCTGTGGCAATGTGGCCCTCGGGAGGGCCTTGTGTCCTCTCGCGTGCCCTCTCCACTCGAGTCCGACTGCAGCGGTATCGGTACCTTGTTGTCTCCCCAGAGCAGGGCCTGAAAGCGCTCCCCCGCGTTCGCTGGCACCTGCCTCTGCTCCCTGCTTCCCGGCGCGGGTTGCCGCGCGCGCGTCTCTGAGCTGGCCCTCACCGTCGGCCGTGCGCGTGCGAGAAACTGTTGCTGTTTGCGTTTCAGTTTGGGCGTATTGCGTACTCGACATACCCTGGAGGTGATGAAGGACCATGGCAAGGTGGAAGAGTGAAGGGGAGGGGAGGGGATGGAGGACGGGGCGGTCATACAAGCTGCGTGCCTCGCTGTTGTACCCTCCGCAGTTCTCACATCCCCATCCATGGGCGGGGCGTTGAGGGTGAAGCATGCGGGATATTGCTTCTTTGTCGATCCACCGTTCGGCCGAGACTCGTTGACGAATTGTGCATTTGCTTCTCGCCGTGCTGGGTTTCAGATGTCCGGACCATTCTCGCAGCCGCCACATGAGATGGAGTTTATAAATGAAGCCGCGCTCAGCTTGATGGAGACACGCTCCAATGGAGTGGTGACACGTGGGTGAGGCAGCCGTCTGTGGACGTCACGACTTCGCAAGGCGATGCCCTCTGTTTGTTCGTGTTCGCAGTCTGTTTCGTCTTATGTCTGGCCCGACTGTGATAGCGGTGGGGGTGTCGGATTTGGCAGAGGTGCTGTCCAATCACTGATAGGTCCTGCAGTCCCGAACGACGGACCACTCGGAGCCCTCGCCGAAAGGCTTTTTTCGAGAGCCATATATCACGTTTCCAGGCCCCTGCGTCTACTACCCCCTTAGAGTACCAAACTATCAACTGCGAGCTGCTCTTGAAATCAGAGCCGCCACGTTCACACTGGTAGCCCTAGTGTCCCCAGTTCAACCAACCTCCGAAGATGCCTTCTGAATGGTCCTGAAGATGAATCACTCCATACGTTTATATGTATTAACAGTAGCATCTGTATATACATGTACACAGATTTGTTCATATGACTATAAGTATGTATGCGTAAATCGTTAGAGAATTTCCCAAGTCGGCACTCCAAGTAATGCAGCGCACTTTGTTCAGGCGAGCGGTCCGTGTTGGTGTTGTGGAAGCGCGAATGAGAAGAAACGTGCTCCAAGCGCGCGTGCACGCACACGCACACGCACACGCAAGCACCCACATAATTATTCACCCGCGCACGGATTTCCCGACCGCCTATCCGAAGCAAGCGCATTTCCACAGCCCGCCTGCTGTGGGAAAGCGATCCCAGACCACCCGCTAAGCGCCGACATCAGCAGCAGCGCAAGCGGGCCTGTCCTGCGACCAAGTTCCGAGGGCAGGGTTCGACCCGTCAAACGCGGGGACCTGGGCTTCGTGAAGTCAGTCAGCAGTAATGGTGATCATCGCACCCGCGCGCGAAGCCAATGCGAAGCCAGTCTTGCGAAGAAAAACATATCGTAGCTGTCTTGAGTCGCCCCTTCGATTCGGCACGACGCTCGAACGGCCCCGAATCTCAAAGGCGCGCGGACCGGAAGACCGAGGGAAAGTCGTTCGCGCCCAGTTCGCAGCCGCGTGGCGCACGGCGGGGCGCCGGGCAGCGAGCGAGGTGCAGGCCCGGAGCCTCGCACGGCAGCCGCCCGCGCTCGATCGCTGCGGACTCCGCGCGCGCGAGAGGGAGACGACGGCCTCTCGGAGAGGCGTCCGGCCCGTTCCTCGCGCTCGAGCGGCTGGGGACGCCGCGCGCGCGGCGGCGAGGGTGCGGGGCCCGCGCGCTGCGGCCTGCGGCCTCGAGCTTTGAGCTCGGGACCCATCAGAGCCCCGACGTCGTGAATATTGTTCGTGACGACGTCGGCCCCCCGCAGTCTGGGCCCATCCCCCGGGACCTGTTTTTCGTCCTGAGTCGGTTTTCGACGGTCCCGAGGGCCGGCAAGGGCCCCCAGAGGCCAAACACAACGAAAAACACCTCCCGTCGCCATGTTTTCATCACTCGAGGGGGTCATGGGGACGCCGCGTGTCGGCCCGGGGTGGTCTGGAGAGCTGCGGGGCCCCCCGGGGGGGGGGGGGGGGGGAACATCTGCGACGTCCGGTGTGCGAGCCTCGCGCTCACGCCGCAGCCTGTCGACCTGGGGGCCCCCTCACGCAGCGGCGCGGGGGCGAGCATATCGCGACCAGGCCCGACGGGGCCTTCGGTGCAGTCGACCCGCATGGCAAGGACGGGCGACCTTCCTGACATCGGGGGCGGAAAAGAGGGGGGTGATGACTAGGGGGGGTTGGATATCATGGCGGGGGCCATGATATTTCCCCAGATGTCATGGCGCCTCTTCTCATTTCACAACGTCCCTGGCCCCCCCGCTGGGCCGCGCACGTGCCGCTGGTTATGATTTGCACCCCCCCCTCTTGGACACCCCCCTCTTGGCCGCTCCCGAACAGTGAGCGGCTCGAATACGGAACACCTGCTTTTCAAAAGGGGATCGGTCGTTCCTTAGGCTCGCGCGCGTTTTTTATCACTCCTTAGGTGTTATCTATCATATAGCCTGGGGAAAAGGGGGCTTCGTTCCTGATTTATCGTTCCTTAGGTCAGGCCGACGACTGTACCCTTGCATCCTTGCCTCCTCGGTCCATCCTTGGCCCCCTTCGCTCGCCGCGCCGCGCTCGGAAAGCCTCGACATGGGCGCCCGAGGCCCCTGCATCCCTCTCGCGCGTCCTCGTGACACGGGCCGACTGCACCACGACCAGGCTCGGTTGCGCCTTCCGTCTCGCGCCGTCTGCCCGCGGGGCCGGCAACTTTTCTGCGCAGCCTCTGCTCAGAGGCCCGCAGGCCGGGCGGGCCGCCCCCTGCAGCCCCCCGCTCCGGGGGGCCCGCGATGGCCGAGGCGCCCCCCCCGCTGGCCGCACGCCAGGGCGGCGGAGGCCGCCCGGGGGCCCCCGGGGCGCACACCGACGTGGCGCAGGCGCTCTTCAGCGCGGTGCAGAAGAACGAGGCCTCAGAGGAGGAAAAGGTACCCATACTCCAAGTCCCTTCTTCATCGTCCCCAGGGTCCGGTTTTTTCGGGCGCCTTCTTTTGCAACTGGCGGGGTCGGGTTAATCAGGGCGCTTTCTTTGGATTGGAGTTTAGGGGGTACGGTTTCGCAAAGCGCCCCGTCGGAGAGGGGTTCGGTATTTTGGGTCGCATCTGGAGGGGGGTCTAGTTTTTTAGGGGGGGCGATTCATAAGGGATTTGGAATACCTTTTACCATTCGCCCGCCCGTTTTCCCCTTGTTGGGCCTCGGGGGAGGCCCTCGTCGCCACCGCTGGGTTTGCCTCGAACTTCTGGTCCGAAGGCACCCCAGGAGAGGTCTGGGGAGTAGCGCTCTTCATCGCGGTGCAGACACCGAGGTTCTAAGAAAAGAGCGGCATAAACACGAATTGTTGGCGCTCCGCACGGATTCCTTGACTCCGCGCTGTGGGCCCCCCTGGCGGCGCTTCCGGCGCCGCCCCGGGCGCCAGGGGGGGGGGGCCCAGCGAGGAGATCGGAGAAATCCGCGCGGACCTCCAAAAGTTTATGTATATGCAGCCTTTTTTTTCTAGAGGTCGCCCTGGCCCTCCAGCTCGTGGATGCGGGCGCGGACCCGAACTCGGTGGACGCGTGGGGAGAGACGCCGCTCTTCGAGGCCGCCGCCGCGGGCCACGGCGAGGTGCTGCGCGGGCTGCTGCTCCGGTCGGCGGACCCGGGCCGCGTCTCCTTCAGCGGGCACACCGCCCGCGACCTGGCCGTGGACGCGGCCACGCGGGCGCTGCTGGGCCAGCCGCCGGGCGGCGGGTGCGCCGGCGAGGGGCCGCTGCTCCGCGCCGTGCGCGCCTCCGACCTGCCGGCGGTGCTGCAGCTGCTGGAGCAGGGGGCCGACCCGAACCGGCCGGACGCCACCGGAGAGACGGCACTGTTCGAGGCTCAGGGGCAACGTCTGGGGGGGGCGGGGGGGCGGAGGGGCTCTGCGGGGGCCAAGCAGCGCGGTTCGAGGCTCGAGGCTTTTTTCGGGCGGTTGCGTCGGCCCTCGCCGGCCTGCCAGCTTCAGGGTGCCTTCCAGCAGCTTCGCCTCGCCGAGGGTGTTCCGGGAGTGCCCAGATCGTCCCGAACGGCCACTACAGAGCCAAGGTATGACCCAAAATGTGGGGGGCAACGCTGGGGAATAGGCTCGGGGGGAGGTGCATCGGCCCCCAAACGCCCACTGATCGCCGCTAGAGGCCCAATAGCCCACCTCGCACGGGAGCAGTCGGATTTCGCTATCGGGGACCTATCGCCGATCTATCGGCGATGTACAGTCGGACCGAGGTATAAGAACGAGGTCGGTTCGGGGATGGTGCCCTCGTGTTTTTCGTGGTTGTTGGATTTTTTGTGCATCCTGGGGAGGGTACCCTTGGATGTTCTGCGTGTTTTGTCGGCGGAATGCATGTGTTTTCAGTCCTAGGTCCTACTGTATCGGGGGCCAATCGCCGATCTATTGGCGATGCATCGCTCGCTGGCGTGGTCCTTCATGGGAGCCTCAGAG